TGTCTCTGCCCCTCCCCCACTCATGTTCTGTCTCTCTCATGAAAATGAATAAACATTAAAGAAAAAAATTTTTTAAAGAAATACTGAAATACCTACACATGGCATTATATGGTCCCTGGGATTTGCATCCTGGATTTGCAAAATCATCTGTGTCAGGGGAATCATTAGTACGCATAAAGCAAGATGGGACAGGAATTGATGATTGTCGAAGTTAGATGATAGACACACAAAAGATTATTTTCACACGCTTGGTACTTTTTATGTGTTTAAGATTTCCATAATAAGGGGCACCTGGATGGCTCAGTCAGTTAATCGGCAGACTCTTGGTTTCAGCTCAGGTCACGATCTCGCGGTTCGTGGGTTCAAGCCCCACGTGGGACTCCATGCTAACAGTGCAAAGGCTGCTTGGGATTCTCTCTCTCTCCTTCTCTCTTCCCTCCTCCGCCTGTGCTCGCTCTCTCTCGCTCTCTCAAAATAAGTAAATAAAAACTTTTAAAAATTTAAAAAAATATTTTCATAATAAAAATAAAATTTCACTCGACAAAGAAAAACTACTAGGACTGAGGCTTCCTGGAAAGTTGGGCCCTGGAGCCACCCCTTTCCTCCCTGCGTGCCGAGGCAGCAGACACCTGCAGGCAGCTGTGACCTTTGGAGGAGCTGGCGGTCTTCGTAGCCACAGGGGTGGCGCCTGCAGCAGCCGCGGTTGGCGTGAGCTGACGGGCTTTCTTTCTCCCAGGGCACCGGCAGCTCCCTGACCTGCTGGGACCCTTTCCTCCCTTTTGCTTATCCATTCCCTCTTCCACACTTGTAACTAAGGTTGCGGATACTCCTTGCACTAAATCCCTCTTGGCTTGAAGTGTCAACACGGTCCTTCTTCCAGGAAGCGGTGGGCTTGGCCCCGAATCAGGGATTCCATTATTAAAGAGGAAAAGAATCATGGATACCAGGGCAGGCGCCTAGCAGCCTCGGCCACAATGGGTGGTCATTGTGTACGTGATTGGTGTCTGTCTTGACAAAGGTCCCCAACCACAGTAATGGAACTGATAAGTCATCCCCTATCCCTCCCAGCAAACCCCTTTAAAAAGTCCCCTTCACTGGTAGATCTGGGGGGCAGGGGGCAGAACATGCTGCGGCCATAGCTCGGGGTGTCTCCTGGTTCCAAAGTGTCTCTCTCTCCTCTGCCTCGTCCACTCTGCAGTCCACCATCCCCGAATCATCCCTATCACACAGCGACGTGTGTGACGGACTTCCACTAAAGGCATGCAGAGCGACAGAGACTAATTTTACCACAAGTGAGAAATAACCCAGTACCGAAGGTCAAGCATCAATCTTCCTAAAAATTCATTGACCATTTCCTGCCAAAGAATAATTGCTTCCTGCCCGTGTGTCTACCTCGGCCCTAGAAGTCTCTAGACGGCTTCTCCCTCTCACCTCTGCATCCCTGCCCCTCCCTCCTAAGATGCCCTTAAGAATTCGAACATCATTTCTGTTACTTAATCTCTACCTCGAGCTCACTTAGCCAGGCCATGCTCCAGGGAGCTCATCGTTAATGACCAAACGGGCCCATCAAGGTGGGTCTAAGCAAAGAAGCCATTCCTTTCCCAACAGGAATATTCTGACTTTCTCCCAGGATGTTGGGCTCAAACTATAGTCCGCTTTTTAACCATTTCTCGCACTACAGGTATAAGACAGAAAGGCCGCCTTGACTTTGAGCGGGAAAACATGCCACTGGTGAATCATATTAGGTAAACGGTGGCTCACCGCACTGGGGTGGGGGTCGGGGTCGGGAAGAGGGCTGTGAAGCCCCTTCCCCAATAAATTGCAAAGGGCAGGTAGAGCTAGAGCAGGATTTCCAGCCTCGGTACCAATATTTTATTGGTATTATTATTATATATTATTATTATTATTATTTTGTCACGGGGGCTGTCCTGTGCCTTGTAGGACTTTTAGCAGCATCCTTGACCTCTACCCACCAGATGCTACCTGCCCCTCACCCCTAGATGTAACAACAAAACGTGTACCCAGGCATTGCCAGGTAAATCCTTGGGGGCGAAATCACCCCTGATCAAGAGCCATGGGCCAGAGGAAAGACACGCCTTCCAGAGCACAGGGCAGGACAAGGTCACGTCGCTCTAAGCCTTCTGACCCCAGGCTGTCATGGCTCCCTTGAGGTTGATCCTGTGACCAGGGAGTCAGAAATGGGGAGGTGGCCAAGGAAGGAGTCTGAGAGGCGGTAGAACCAGGGCGAGGTGTGGATTATCCCAGTGATGGTGACTGAAACTGATTCCTCTTCGAAGACACCACCTCCTATAGACCAGGCTCAGCACAACCTCGCCCCCGTCCCAGAGGAAGGCTCCCCACACGCTATCTGATGGGAGTCTAGTGGGTTACCTTCGCACCCAAGGAACAGCCCGGGTCTTAGGAGGGTTTGTCCTGAAGGTTGGAAGGTCATGAGGTAGGCATCCTAGAGGACAGAGAGGCCAGACGCCCTGCGTCCTAGACCTGGCCCTGACACGGATATCTGTGTGACCCCGGGCAAGCCCCCTGTTCTCACCAGGCCTCCGGGGCTCAGTCTCTGTCATGAATGGATGGAGCCAAGTCCTCCAGCTCTGGCCTTTGACCCCATGAGCCTGTTTCCATGCCCTTCCCGGCTCCTTCACCACTTGTGCTTTCTCACAGCCCACTTTTCCAATCCTGTATCTTCTTGGTTTTTTTTTTATTTAAAAAATATTTATTTTGAGTGAGAGAAAGAGCACGAGCAGGGGAGGGGCAGACAAAGAAGGTGAGAGAGAAACCCAAGCAGGCTCAACAGGGTCGGCACAGAGCCCAATGCGGGGCTCAAACCCACAAACCATGAGATCATGACCTGAGCCAAAATCAAGGATCAGACACCCAACCAACTGAGCCACCCAGGGATCCCTTAATTTTTTTAATATTTACTTATTTTTGAGAGAGAGTGTATGTGCATGAGCAAGAGAGGGGCAGAGAGAGGGAGGCAGAGGACACAAAGCAGGCTTCATGCTGACAGCAGACACCCAATGCGGGGCTCAGTCCCATGAACTGCAAGATCATGACCTGAGCCAAAGTCAGATGTTTAACCAGTTGAGCCACCCAGGCACCCCCAACACTGACATTTTTTTTAATGTTTATTTACTTTTTTTTTTTTTAAATATTTTTTTTTTTTTTTTTATTTCTAGGAGAGAGAGAGAGAGAGCATGAGCAGAGGAGGGTCAGAGAGAGAGGGAGTCACAGACTGAAACAGGCTCCAGGCTCTGAGCTGGCAGTCAGCACAGAGCCCGATGCGGGGCTCGAACCCACGAACCACGAGACCATGACCTAAGCGAAAGTCGGACACTCAACCGACTAAGCCACCCAGGCGCCCCATAATGTTTATTTACTTTTGAGAGAGAGAGAGAGAGAGGCAGAGTGTGAGTCAGGGAGGGGCAGAGAGAGAAGGAAATGCAGAATCTGAAGCAGGCTCCAGGCTCCAAGCTGTCAGCACAGAGCCCGATGCAGGGCTTGAACTCATAGACCGTGAGATCATGACCTGAGCCAAAGTCAGATGCTTAACAGGCTGAGACACCCAGGTGCCCCCAACTCTGACATCTTTCAATCAGCCAACCAGCCTGTGCTGAGCCCAGCCCTGTGCCAAGCTCAGTGACAAGTGACGAGGGCAAAAATGGACACGCTGAAAACACAGGGCTTCTATTTCCTACACTGAGGACAGGGAATGCAGGAGTTAGGAAGCATCGCTCCGCGGCTGGCCCTCACACACTCCTCTGGTGACAGACTTCTTGTCAGCTTCAATCTCAGCCCCCTCTTCAAGGAATTTATAGTCGTGTTAGGAAGACAAGACTAACACAGGTTTCTATTTTATTTTGCCAAAGGTGAAAAATGCCACCTTCCCCACCACGGCAACCAATAAAACATTTCCCCCAAAATAACCTGGTGTATATCAAGTCTGTTTCATAATTTTTAACCCTTAACATGGGCTTTTACATTCTACCTTAAACTATAGGGGGGCACTGGGTGGCTCAGTCAGTTAAGCGTCCCACTTCAATTCAAGTCATGATCTCACAGTTCATGAGTTCGAGCCCCACGTCGGGCTCTGTGCTGACAGCTCAGAGACTGGAGCCTGCTTCAGATTCCGTGTCTCCTCCTCTCTCTCTCTGCTCCTCCCCCACTTGCACTCGGTCTCTGTCTCTCTCTCAGAAATAATCCTAACACACCACTAGTTTCCTCATGAAAAAGCTAAATAAAATATAAGTTTCATCAATTTTTTTAAAATAATAAATAAATAAACATCTAAAAGAATTTTTTAAAAATAAAATAAAATAAATTCTAATCAAACTATAAAAAGAACAAATCCATCATTTAGAGCTCGTTCCCGGGACTCTGTCCTCTGGCCAAGAAGCACATGGCTGCGTGCTCCATGTAGGTATGTCCTGCTAAGGTTGGGCCATTCTGCCAGGAAGTGAATGTCTGTGGCCCCCCAACCCCCCCGCAAAAAAAATTCATGTGTTGAATCCTCATGCCCAAGGTGACCGTATACGACGTGCCATCCTCAGGAGGTGACCAGGTCATGAGGGTGGACCCCTCGGGAAGGGGATCCGTGTCCTTATAGAAGAAACCCCACTGCCCCTTACACTATATGAGGTCGGCCCTCTGTGAAGCAGGCACTGCCCAGACACAGAATCTGCTGATGCCTCGATCTTGGACCTGTCAGTCTCCAGGACTCAGAAATGAATTCCCGTCATTTAGAAGCCACCTGATCTGTGGTATTTTTGCTCTAGCAGCCCAAAGGGACAGAGATTCCTCTGGTGCCTCATACTCCTCCAGCACTGAAACCTAAACTCCCGTCGGAAGCCCCCCTCCCTCTCTCAGAATCTCCCCCCACCCCCCCACCCCCCCCCGAGCCACAGCTGCTAGGGGCCTCTCACAGCTGTGACAGCAGCTATCATACATCAGTGGATTGTCATCAGACTGGCCCTGTCTGAGGACCTGGGGGAGCAAATGGGACCCTGTCAGGTTCAGATTTCAATTTGTAGATTCCTCCCCTACGTGGGAAAGATTTCAGAGAATGGCCCAGTATTGCGGTAACTACTAAATCCCCTTCTCCAGCTCCCCTTTACAGCAAAGAGAACGCAACGTGGGCCCGGAAAACCTCTGTCCGGCCAGCCTGACAGCAAGAAATGCAAGGTCAGTCCTTTCGAGAGTCATCTGGGGCCCACCACCTGGGTGTGGGAGCGCGGCCACAGGAGAGATCAGGGTGGCAGGTAAGCAGGCGGCACCTAGGTGTCTCCGCATAGAAATTGCTTCTACCTCGAGCTTCCCTGGGTCCTAGGCTGTAATTCATGCGGACCCCTGGTATGGCATGCGGCAGCCTCCAGCTTTCTTGTGGGAAGAAAGGACGGCAAAGACTGGAGCCGGACACGTTACAGTCAGAGGGAGCCTCTGCTACTAGAGACTGAACATTCTCCCCAAAGTACAAGCTGTACTTGACCAACGCAGGGCAAGTCACCGATACAGGAGGCGTCCCACAGTGAGGAGGAAGTGAGAAAACTGGGAACAGGCCACACTGCAGATAGGCTGAATGAGGGGTGCCGGCTCTTTCTTGACCCATTCTAGACATCTAGGCCCCACCCCACTCCGTGGAAACCCCACAGGGAACCCCTCTATCCTGGAGAGCTGAAAAGACAGCCAAGAAGTCTCGCAGTGGACCTGTCATGGAGGAGAGCATCTCTATCCACATTAGGGAGGCTCGCTCCTGAATTCCACTCTTGCTTGGCCAACACAGCTTAAGAGTTGTCCCAGCACGCAGGAGCATGGCGTGTCACAGGAATGTCACAGAGGATCACTGACAAGTCACGGGGAAGGCCACCTGTGAGGCCAGTCTTGGCGGATGAGAAGGACTTGACTCGGAATAAAAGAAGGGCTGCCGGACTCTCATGCAAGTGGAGGCTTGGTTATCCCTTGCGTTTCCCTCCTGTGTTTGCGGCTGGACTACGGGAGGCTGACGCACCTCGTTGGGTCAGACACAACCGCCCTTATGTCCGACGGGTCCTGGCTAGAATTCAGGAAACCTTATTCCCCTTTGCCCTCCAGCCTTTGGCAACTTTGGGCTCCCTTCTCGAGGGGGGAGAACTCTGTAATCTAAGGGACTTCCTTGGCTTTCTGCCATTCCAGGGGGAGCTCAAGAAAAATATTTTAATGGAAAACTATCCTGCTCTTGGTTGAGCTGTAAAGTCAAGACTGGGTAGCCTGGGGTTGTGACCACTCCCGCAGACAGTCCAGTTTGCTCCGCTCAGAGAGAGGCAGCTGGGGAGGTGGGAGGGGAGCGCTATATGTGCAGGGAGGACGGCATGCAGAGAGAGAAGTGCCTGTCCCTTGGCACCGGTAACTTCCAAATCGCCCAGCATTTAGTCAAAGGAGCCGCCTCTCTACCCAAGTCACTGGGAGTTTTTCTGCATTTTATTCATTTCCAAACCACATATGTGACGCTTACCCAGAACATTCAAGGTTTGCCAGCCAGCGGGCAAAAAGCTAGCGGGAAACCATGAGGACTCCGTTCTCGGCCAGCAGGGCTGTGCCCCCAGCCCCACCTCCCCCCAGGGATCGGATCGGGGCTGATGCGAGTTGGGTGTCTAATCAGCAACGGCACTTACGCGCCCCCCCCCCCCCACCGACCCAGTTCCTTCACCAAACGCTTGAGGTCCCAAGAGCGTGGCCTCGGCTGCAGCTGGAGCTGCCAGAGGGCAGCGAACTGGCTCATGAACGAATTTTCCTAAGACCCCTGCTGAACAGCCTGGCTTTAAATCAAGCACTACCTCCATGTCCCCAGGACTGCCTGTGTGGAGGGACGGTGACAGGTGCCGCTGGGCGAGCCTAGACGCCCTCAGATCGGGACCACACTCTGTTCCCTGGGGCTCTTTGCCATCCATTCTGCCTGAGTCTCTTGTGTGCTCCTCACCTCCTCTCTCAGTGCCCACCTCTGGAGCTAGACTACTCAGCTCCTTAGGAATCACTAATTGTTGTGGGGAAACTGCTTGCTAATCAGGAAGGGGGGAGGGAGGGAGGGAGGGAGAAAAGAAAGGGAGGGAGGGAGGAAGGAGGGAAGGGGGAGGGAGAAAAGGGGGGAGGGAAGGGAGGAAAGGAGGAAGGGAGGGAGGGGAGGAGGGAAGGAAGGAGGGAGGGAGAGAGGAAGGGAAGGGAGGGAGGGAGGCAGGCAGGCTTTTCTGCAGCCACCTCTCCCTTCTAGGGCCATAGTTAGTTCATCTCGGGTCCCTCTGATGTAAATCTGGATGACACCCCCATAGCTTAGAAGGGTCTCTTGGAAGGAGAGGGGTGGAGCTTTAGGCGACGTCTGCTGAGAAGAGTCTTGAGCACTCGGATGGATCTGCCCCAACCATTGAGGGGAAACCTGAGTGTGGGGGGCAGGCCAGAGAAGTGGGGTAAAAGAAGAGGCCAAGAAGTGTCTTCAGAAAGATGGGAACCGACCAAAGGGGTCTAGAAGGGACTCGGAAGGAGGTCAGCTGGCAAGAAAGGCACTGGGAAGGGGGGAGCCAAGAACTTAGAAGTGGAATGTTTGAGATCATGTTTTCGGTTGTTTGCTGGGCTGTGTGGTGAGGTCACCTGCCGGCACCCACAGCGACCCCACATGTTCAGTAATCGTCTGCTACACAGGCAGCCTTTGCTCGGTGGTGCTTTGGGACGAGGAAGCGGGTGGGGGGAGGGTCCAGCTTGAGTCGGGGTGGCACGGAGGAGAGGTGACAGCGGGCATCGGGATCTACACCATGCTTACGAGACAGGTGCCTGCAGAGATACAAGTCACAGGGGGCTTAACGCTGGGCAGAAGCCTCAGCCCTTGGCTATCCATGGGGACGTGGGGAGGCCCTGAGCAGACCCTTCTCTCCGTGGGACGCAGCAGGACCCATTTCTCACCATTTTAAGGCGAGGGCTCCCGAGGGCTGGAGGACAGAGGGCGGCTGGGTCATGTCACTAAATCGCTGCTTAACCGATCCCCGTGTCCCCACACTCTCTTCGGTGCCCCACAGAAAACCAATTTCTGTCCCCGCAGGGCGGTCACAATTCAGAGACGCCTCGGGCAGTTTGACATTAAAATAAAGCACTCCGCGGTCATTTTCACATCTGCTAAGAGTTTTATTCCACTTAGGCTGCTTAAGACCACGAGAGCAGCCTCATTTGACCTTCCTGGTGTCCCTAATCAAGTCCCCTCTGATTCTCTGGCTGTCAGCTCGTGGTGGAGCAGGATGAGGAAGCAAAGCCTTTACATATGGTGGCTTGTTGCGGGAGCCTCTCCAGACTGTTTCCCTAATGACTGATATTCTTGCCAGTTAGCATTTAAGTCTTTTGCAGCCAGACCTTATGCTATTGCTAATTTTAAAATAATCGTAAGACAGTTGGGCTAAATTCTTCTGCTCCGGTCTCTTGTTAGCAATGGCTCTTGCAGACTTCCAACTCACTTATAAGTTGTGATTATAAAATAATGAAGCTGATTACTTAAACAAATGCCTCAGGATATATTCTCCTTTTTACTTTTCTTGTTTTTTGTTTTTTGTTTTTTTGGAAGACGAAAGTTAACAACAAAAACTTGAACTGTACTTGGACTTTTAGAAAATAAAGTATCAAGACTTGCCTTATTTATGTCTTTTTTTTTTTAATATTTATTTCTAGGAGAGAGAGAGAGAGAGAGAGAGAGACAGCGTGAGCAGGGGAGATTCAGAGAGAGAGGGAGATACAGACTCTGAAATAGGCTCCAGGCTCTGAGCTGGCAGTCAGCACAGAGCCCGACGCGGGGCTCGAACCCACAAACCGCGAGATCATGACCCGAGCGAAAGTCGGACGCTTAACCGACTAAGCCACCCAGGCGCCCCAAGACTTGCCTTATTTAAACTGCTCCTGCATTGATAAATCAAGATGAACTGAGTTTTTGTTGCGCTTCACATCACGCACCCTGCAGCTTTAAGAAAACTGTTACTACTCCATCTTTTACTAAATCATTAATTTTCACACCCACCACTCTCTTATGACACACGATTATCTGAAAGTGACTCAAAATACCCATTTTAGAAGTCTCTGTGCTTCAAAGTTGTTTCAGTAGTTTTGAGTACTTGAGATAGACTGACCCACTGTGAGTCCTACTTTCGGTCCCCGTTGTGACACCGGCACCATCCCGATGAGGAAGACGCCTCTTACCACAGGAGCAGGTGAAGTTTCACCTGAGCGGCCCGGCGGAGTACTTTTCAGTTCCCACTGGACTGTCCAGCACCCGGGGGACATATGTGTCCCACAGACCTGAAGTCGGAACTGAACAGCCGTGGGGGGGACTCTCTCTCAGCCTTGACCATCACAAGACAAACGAACAGACGGCAGCAGTGGGAACCCTCTATGCAGAGGCCAGCTGGAAACCGGACACTGGGAAATCGGGGACAGGAAGCAGGACATGCCGGCAACGTGCCTGCAAAGTCTCTCCAGTGCCACAGCGAAGGCGTCTCGGAGAAGTAAAGATGACCAAAGATGTCAGACATCTGAGTAAAGATGACTTTTCAGAAGACAGACAAAACAACAGGTAGGGTGTGTGGGGTGGGGGTCGCTAACAAAGGTCTGAGGAGCCAGGTGCCCGGGTGGCTCAGTTGGTTGAGCGTCTGACTCTTGACTTCAGCTCAAGCCATGATCTCATGGTTCCTGGGATCGAGCCCCACACCAGGCTCTGCGCTGATAGCATGGAAGCTGCTTAGGATTCTCTCTCTCTCTCTCTCTCTCTTTCTCTCTCTATCTCTCTCTCTCTCCCTGTCCCTCCCCAGCTTGCTCTCTACTCTCTCAAAATAAAAATATAAAAATAAAACTTAAAAAAAAAAAAAAAGGCCTGAAGGGAGTGCTGTGAGGAAGTGCAGATCAACAGAGAAGCCCGGAGAGGTCCTCCTCCGTCTGAGCTAGGACTTGAAGGATGGATGGATTTCTCCAGACCAGGAACAACAGAGTTGGCATCCCAAGAAGAGGGAGAGACAGAGCGGATGCAGGGAGAACACAAGCACGGTTAAAAGAACATGATCTCGTGTGGCTGGGGTGCTGGGCACACAGCAGAAGTGTAATGACAGGCAAGTCCTTATAAAGGAGGAAGAGAATCTTCTCTGTCAGTCACACTGACACAAAGGGCTTCGTCCTGCAGGCAAAGAGAAGGCCATCTCTCCCTTTAGGACCTGGGCATGCTCTAATCCACTTGCTTGTGCAGTGCGGGCAGGTGAGTGGCAGAAAGGGCCTGGCACCAGACCTCCTTCCCTTGCACTGCAGAGAGAAGACCCTAGAAAAAGCCAGACTGTAGGGCCGCCTCTCAAGGTTTGGCCCGGCTGGGGACACCATCTCAGAGGGTGGTGCTAAGAAGCAGAGCAGGGGTTACCCAAAGCTCAGGTGAGCCGTGGCCATCACAGGATGTCCAACTGGGCCCTGAGATGCCCAGGGGTAGGGATTCCAGCCCCAGAGGCACCAAAGTCCCTCACTGTAACTCAGAACACTCGCTATGTGCTGGGCTGAGCCAGGAGAACGGGGTGGAAGATGTAAAGAATGTGCGCCATTGGGGGCCATCTCCAAGGAACCAGACCCATGTCTGCTAATCATGAGGAGAGACTCGGGAGTGCCAGACACCCCGAGCCCCTTGCTCACCCCTCATACCTCAAGGCTGGCTGCACAGGAAGACACAACCCTCAAAGTCAAGCACGCAGTCCCTTGCTAATCACACCCTGCTAATCACACCCAAATCCAGAAATGTTCCTTTAGTAAACTGCTGAGTGTCTACTGTGGGGGAACCACCGTGCTTGGTGCTAGGGGGACACAGACAGGGACACAGTGTGGTCCAGAGGCATTAAGCCCCCCATATCTGGCAGTTCAGGGTAGGGAGAGCAGAGCGAGCACAAAGGGGCTCCCAGCCCCAGGGAGGGGGTGCTCCAAGTGTTCTCTACAAGAATCACCTGAGGACCAGCAGAAATCGACCAAGCAAAGGGTCCTCCGGGCAAAGGAGCAGAAGGTACAAACGTCTGCAAGGCAGAGAAGGTTCTTGAAATCCCACATGCTCGCTCGCAAAGGTCTCCTAGTCACTGTCCCTAGAGCAAGAGCAGCAGTGTGCCCAAAAGTTAGGCAGCAGCTGGAGGCTTGGCCCATCTGGGTTTACACTCCACTCCACTCCTTGGAGCTGTGGATGTCTGGTGAGTTCATTCGAATTCGAATTAGGCAGTGGGAATAATGGTCACCACAAAGGATGTGCTGAGTGAGCATCAGTTACTCTCATGTGTCGATGAAACGTGAGAGCGGCCCCTGTGTGCGCTGAGCAGGGGTGAGAGTCCATGAGAGAACAGGTGAGTGGCTGAGTCACCAGGCAGGGACATACCACCAGGGCCTCACTCCGTTCCTGGACTGTCAGGTGCAAAGGTAGAGGTGGGGTGAGCAGCCTGGTTCTGTCCTGTCATGGGGTCCTCTCCCCAAACCCTGCCCGTACTCCAGCTCCGGGCTCAGCTCCCAGCCTTCCTGGGTGTCGGCAACTGCCCAGGTCTTTTTCCTTGCCCATCACAGCTTCCTCAGCCCCCGACCCCACCCTTCTGGCCCTCTGGGTTCGGGAGAACCCTCAACTGTAGACAACAAATCCCCAATACTTGAGTGCCCAGCTTGCAGGAGAGGAGGGGACCACACCCTCACTTTTGCCTCCCCTTCCACCAAAATCCTTGTGGCTCTGGGAGCCCAGGTGACAGGGGCAGCCATGGAGCAGTTCTGGGGCAGTAAGCAATTGCCACAGAGCTGTGTAGACCAGACATGAGGATTGGCATGGAGGACAACTTTGTGACGGGGAGGGGAGGAGGGAGTGCAGCCAGGGCAAGGGGTCAAACCCTGGGAAGATGCCCTCCTTCTGCTTCCACCAGCCACCTGAGACCTTCCCCAGCCCCTGTCTGTCCAACCCCAGGGTCTTTGTCCCAGAGGGGAGAGCAGTGTTTGTATCCATCCATCTATCCATCCATCCGTCCATCCAGGAAACACGCCACATCCCAGTGCCAGGCATTGTTCTAGGCCCCACAGAAACACCCCCAAGGAGCTGTTACTCTTTTTTTTTTTTTTTTTTTTTTTGCGAGAGGGGAAAGGCAGAGAGAGAGAGGGACAAAGAATCCAAAGTGGGCTCTGTGCTGACAGCAGAGAACCCAATGCAGGGCTCGAACTCACGAACCGTGAGATCATGACCTCAGCCAAAGTCAGACTCTTAACAGACTGAGCTGCCCAGGTGCCCCTGCTGCTCTCTATCTTACTGCCTCAGGCCAGTGAAGGAGACCCCATCAGGTGCAGCCACTATGAGTGGTCATGGCAGACTTCGGCTTTGGGCAGAACCTGCATGAAGACTTGACCTTCATCAGCCCAACGGAGAGCTCGAAGGCTGTGGGCACAGCTGTGGTTTATAGCACCACTCATGTGTGCTAGGCAGAACATGACCCCAGACTGGCGGTGGGAGGGGGCTGTCGCCTGGCCAGGGGAGGGGAGGGTCACAGCAGGCTAGGAATGGGAGCGGGGGGTGTCTCCATGCTGGACTCTCAAACTGGGCTGCACCCCCAAGCACAGCACCCCTACCTGCCTTTCAGGCCCTCAAGGCCCAGGCTCAAGCTTATGCCCTGCAGCCGGTGAGTGTCAGCCCCCGTCATGCTCTGAAGGTCACTATTGCTCCTCCCATGCAGTCTGAAGCTCTGCACTGCCACCTGTGAGGGGTGTGACGGCCGGCCAATCACTCACCATCCTGAGCCTTAATCTTCCCACTTGGACTTATTACCCCTCCCTCTGAGGGTTAAACGCTGCATGTTCTGAGCCCCTCGCTGCAGCTGGACAGGCAAAATGATCCTGTAATTGAAGTCACTGTCACTGTTGTCCTCCTCCCCTCAGCAGGTGGCGCTCAGCAAGGACCTGGCACAGGGCATCCTAACCATACTGGCCATTCTCCCGCTACAGACTGAGCGGACTGGCCACTGGGACACCCATGTGCACCCATCTCAGACAAGCACCAGCGTCCACACTGGGCCAGTGACCGGCTGTGGGGGCTGGCGTGGTGTCGCAGAGAGATGACCGGCATCCACCTGATATGAAGCCTAGAGAGTGTGGGCAAAGGTTTCTTCTCCTTCTCCACCAGGTGCCCACCAACACCAGCCCTGACTCCCTGGGGTGGCCCCCAGTCCTTCCCCCAGCCGCCACGCTTGTACCCGGGCAGGGTAGTGTGAACTGTAGCTGAGTCCCAGGATGCGGATACTCTCAGGCCAAGGGCGGACAGTAGCAAGGATGGAGCCGGCGTCAGAGAGCAGGCACTTGGCCCAGCTCACACAGGCCCAGCGTGCCAGGTGCACTGAGCGGTCTGTATTTTACTTCTCACGGTCACCTCTGCCTGTCCTATGTCTGCCTCTGCTCTGTGCCAAGGGGTTCTGCTTGCCACCCCTCCCCCACATCACATACATCAACCCCCCAGGAAGTCGTGTGTGTGAACTCCAAGTTTGCATATGCGGCAATCCTGGGAGGGGAGCCAGGGCCCTGGTGCAGAATCACGTGGACAGGGGAGCTTCCCTCCCTTCTCTCCTACCTGCTCTGGGCACAGCAAGTGCGCTCAGAGAGCAGGGTCTCCCACCCATCCTGGGCAAGGGCCATGAGAATAGCCACATTTGATTTTAAACTGAGGTTGGGCCGCCTGAGAGGCTCAGTCATTTGGGCGTCCAACTCTTGATTTAGGCTCAGGTCCTGATCTCATGGTTCGTGGGATCGAGCCCCACACCACCTGTGATGACAGCTTGGAGCCTGCTTGGGATTCTCTCTCTCCCTCTCTCTCTCTGCCCTTCTCTGGCCTGCAATCTCTCTCTCTCTCAAAATAAATATTTTCTAAAGGGCGAGGTTAACAAGCCCACTTCCAAGGGTTGGGGCTGTGGGGATGAAGAGGGACACCCTGTGGCGGGCCTGGAGGCGTGGGCAGCACTATTCCCTCGAGCAGAGCTGGCCGCTGCCCATTGGCTCCTCCTGCTGCCCTACCTGGGTCACTGCCAGCCACTGCTCCAGGAGGCTGTGTGTCCTCACAAGCACACACAGGCACACACAAGGACATAACCCTTCCCTGGCCCCAGGATGTATATTCTGACTTAATCTCCCAGTCAGGAGAATGAGCCACCCCCAAACTCCCACTGTGTCTAGGTATCAACTCTGTGATCAAGGATCAGAGGTCCTCAAGAGATCATAGTGACCAAAGGGAAGCCCATCTGCAGCCAGACCCCTGAGGAGCTCTGGTCCGGACTGAGAAAGCCAGTGTGCCCAGTCAGGTTACCATGGGGGCCCAACTGTACAGAGTCCATCCAAGTGAGTCTGGGTTAAGGTCAAGGTAAGGCCAAGTCAGGGGGTTGGGCCAGAACTAACCAAGTCAGCCCAAGGTTAGCGGCACTGTGGGCTGGGTTCATGAAGCGCGTAAGGAAGGGGACAAGCCAGTGTAGGGCCAGCTTTGGGAACAAGTATGCCACCCAGCAAAACATGAACTTGAGGGGCTGGACCCAGGCCTGGCATCCCATTAACTGCCTCTGTATTCACAACCACCCAGGCCGTTCTTTGCTATCCGGAATCCAGGCCCACGAGGAAGCAGGAAGCCCTGGGGACGCCCTGTGGCGGACCCCAGGAACACCTCTTCAGCGCACACTCCGCACCAGGGCAGCCCCTGCAGGCCCTGCGCGTGCAGACACACCCAGATTCCTACGGAGAGTCCAACACACGCGAGCACGTGTGACTGTGACCTCAGGCTACGGCGTGCCCATGGCCACATGGTCCGGCACCACAGAGTCTCCTCAGGATAATTATTTATTATTCATAGTCATCAGCATCTTCATTAATTATTCATATGATCCTTAATTATTATCCTTAACAATAAGAGCAGTAAATAGCAGAAAAGTCCTTGAGGTGCCTAAGGCCCAGGGCCGGGTGCCTCCGGGCAGTTAGACCAGCTAATGCCCCCTGGGCAGTGAGGAGACCACAGACCCCCGTCCACTGCCCGGCCCTGTCCCTGCCCCTGCCCCCGCCATGGGGGCCCAGGGGACTGCAGGAGGAGATGGTCCCAAGGGCTGGGGGAGGGGGCTGTGCCTTCATGTTCCTCTCCCCTTTCTCGGCCAGGGCCTCCCGGGCAGGGCCTCTGAGGGGGGGGGCCCAGGCAGTGCGCTGAACCCTGGGTGAGCCACGTGTCCACACTGGGCAGCCCCACTAACTGCCTGGGTCTGAGCCATGTCTGTGCAGGGGCTGGGAGGTGAGGGCCCCCAGCTGGCCCGGCAGGGAGAGGCGTCGAGTGGGGCCGTCTTGGGGGAGCTCTGGGGTCCCCGGGGGGAGCTCCTCCAACGCCATGAACTGGGAAACCTGCAGAGAACACATTGTGAGCAGCCACGGAGCCTGTGGAAGGGGGGAGAGGGGACGGAGGGACTGTCGGGTGAATAGAGACGAGGGTCAGGGGACAGAGAGGGTCAGGAGAGGTCCGTGAAGAGGAGAAGAGGGCTCGAGGAGACAGAGAGAAGGGCGGAGCCACACAGAACAGGACTTGGAGCACAAAGGGGAAGCGCTGAGGTTGGAAGAAGAGAAATGCACTCTCAGTGGGCAGGAACCGAACTCGGTGGCGGGAGCCCTGGGAGTGGCCCCTGACACAGGGGAGAGCGCTGAGGGCTGCAGCCACTCTCCCCTCCCCGACCCCCCGTTGGGGGGGAAGGGGTCATGGCAGAGTATTCCAAACCCAACCCAGAATAAGGGGCCCTGAGTTGGGACAGAAAAAGAAACAAGGCTCCTTCCTCCAATCTAGAAAGAACTCGGGGACCTAGAAACAGAGGCAGGCTGGCGGCCAGGCCCCGGAAGGCCAGGGAGAGTGCCAGGGCCGGCGGGAGGGGTTTGTGGATGCTGACGAGTGTGCTGTGAGATCTCCGCGGGGGAGGCCGTGAAGGGAGACTGGCACATTTGCTGACGTGGGCCCTGGTGTCTGCAAACAGGAGCAGGCAGCATATGGGAGGGGGAGCGGATGCCAGAGGGAGGGGGGAGCAGAGCCCAGGCCACCTCTGGGAGCCAGAAGAGCCCCCTTCTTGGGGCCCAGACACGGCTGTCTTGTCAGGAGGCCGGGAACACACATGTCCACTCAGGAGAGGACAAAGAGCGACACAGGCCCACTCCCGCAGGGGGGGAGAGATGCGGGCTGGAAGTGCCACCCTGGGGCTCGGCCAAAGCCCTCAGGACAACCCTGCAGAGCGGCTAGTGTGAGAGCCACAGGCGGACGGCAGAGCCAGAGCTGAGCAGCGCCAGTCACGGCAGAGACCCCGTGCCGAGGGTGCACTGGCACACAGCGCCCACCACCGGGCCTCAGAGGCCCCTCTTGGCCATGACACAGGCCCCCTGAGTAGATCTAGCCGTTTAGGTGGCCCCTCTCAGCCCGCTGGGCTCCTTTGCCCCGCTGCTGGGGGCTGTGGTCTGGGGGCTCTCCTGCCTTGCCCTGTGCTCCCAAAGGAGTCCTCCTCCAAAAGTACCATCCAGGGTGAGGGCAGAAATGGGGGTGGGAGGAAGCTGAGGCCCAGTGCTTAAGAAAAAGGACAGCAAAGCAGGTTTGGGGGGTGGGGTTGGGGGCAGAAAAGGCAGGGCTGGGGCGCCTTGGGCAGGGAGAGGGGCCTGGAACTTACCTGAGAAAGCGAGTCCAGGGTGAGGGTGGGGATGGGGCTGACGGGCAGCAGAGAGGAGGTGGAGGTGGGGCCGGGCCCCGGGGTGGTCACAGCACTGTAAGCAGGTGGGACCAGCATCATCTGCCTCTGCAGCAGCTGCAGGACAGTGGCCATGTCCGCACTCAGCCGGGTCTCCAGCCTGGGGCAAGAAGGAGGAGGATGCTCTGGCTCTCGGGGATGTGGGGACACCAGTGACGGTGATTTTGGAGCCACCTTATGGACCAGCCAGCTGGTCAACCCCAGGCTCCCTCTTCACTCCGGGTGTGCAGTCCCTATCTCAGCGCTGAATGGAAGGACGGGGTCCGGGTGCAGCACACATGGGACAAGGCCGACACAGAGCAGACATCCTCCCTTCTCACACACTCACACACACACACACACACACACACACACACACACAGACGACCCACTAGCCTCGCCCCCTCGACACGCCAGATGGGGGCTAAACTGGTCCCAGGAGGCGCCCTCACCTGTTGAGCTGCCTCTGAAGGGCATCCAGCCTGCTCTCCACGTCGCCCCGCGGCCTCCGGCTGGGGCTGGAGAGAGGCATGTTCAGGAGGCTGGGGGTGGGGGCGGGGCAGCGAGGCAGCTCCTGGTACTGGCGGCCCCGACTGTCCCCCCAGAAGCTGAAGATGTTGGACACTCCTGAGAAGGCGCCTGGAGCCAGAGAACTGGGTTGAGGCCAGGTCGGATGCCACGCCCCCCCCCCACCTGAGCGGGCCCTCACCCTACCTGACAGCGGGTTACAAGTGTCACTGCTCTTCTCCCCATCCTCCGTCAGCGGCTCCCCACCCGGCGGCTCTCCGGGGGGCCTGGGGCTGGAGAAGGGCACCAGGCGGAGGGGGCTGGACCTGCGGCCTGGGCCCTCATCCTCACTGCTCTCAGGGCTGGAGGGGCCGCTGGACGGGCTCTCCCCCCACGGTCCCCCTGGCCGGCCCCGGCTACTCGGCCCTGCCCCCGCCCGGCCCGGCCCCAAGGCCGACACCTCCCCTGGCTGTTCTGGGTCTGTGGGAAACAGAGAACGGGCCTCAGAGAAGGCAGGAGGCACGGATGGGGAGGGCAGGGGGCTGGGCAGGCCTGGGAGGGGGCTGCGCCGGGACACCCTGGTCTGTCCGCCGTTGTTTCTTCTGCTCCACCCCCCACCGCGCTCAAGCCGGAAGAGAACCCCCGGGGGCGGGACTAGGTCGTCTGGGCGGGGCTCTCGGTGACCCCCCATTCACGGGCCCCCTCGCCCTCCTTTCTCTTCTCCTCCCCTCATCAGTTCAAGGCAGCGCCCAAGACGCCAGCCGCCTGACGCCCCACGAAGCTTAGGCCGGCACCCAGGAGGGTGGAAGAGGGCTTCCCGGAGAAGGTGCCAGTTCAAGTGGGCATTAAGGGAAAATGCCCAGCGTTCGGGCAGCCGGGGTGAGAGAGTGGGGAACACTGAAGCCAGGGGCACGAAAGTCTGCGGGGCTGGGTGCAGTCGACACCTCCCGCCCCCGCGCCCCGCCCCGCCCCCTCCCACCTCACCTGGACCCCGCCCCCCGCCCCGCCCCCGCCTCACCCTTGTCGGTGCGCCGGCGGAAGGACAGCTTGCGCTTGCGTTGCCTGTTGAAGCCGCCCTCTAGCTCCGCGCTGCCGCCCGGAGACCCCGGGATCATGTTGGTCTAGAACCGAAAGCGGTGTCAGGGCCCTTCCGCGCCCACCGGCCTGCCCGGGTCAGCCCAAGCCCCCTCATTAACATCGAGTGGAGCCCGCAGCACCCGCTGGGAGCAAGCTCTCCCCGCACAGACGTCATCTCCGCTCATCCAGGAGAGCTGAGCCTGGGACGCCCACCTCCTCCAACTCCCTACCACCCGACAGGCAGGGGAACAGGCCCAGCGAGGTGGCAAGTCGGGGGCGGCCGCCGGGGCAGCCCACTCACGTCCCGCAGGTTGAAGGTGATCTCCAGGCTGGACCAGAAGTGGTCAGAGAACTCGGGGTACATGTCCAGCACCTCCAGCAGGTCGTCCCGGTGGATTTTGTGCAGGTCGCAGTAGGTGAGGGCCCGCACATCCCCATTGGACTTGCCAGGCCGGGCATACAGGTTCAAAGGCTCTCCAAAGATGTCGTTCTTCCCTGGAGGGCACCAAGGGTGGGGACTCAGTCCCTGGGCAGCAGCGCAGGGAAAAGGCACCTGTCTTGCGGGCATTCTCAGCCTGGGGGCCGGAGGCTGGGGGGCCTCCCCTCAGTCCAGTGCCCCACCCACCAGCCCCAGCCCCCCCAGAGCCAGCCCCATCTCCCGTCTGCTCCTCTGTTCACATGGGCATCGGTGCCGTGGGGGTAGAGGGAGTAGAGGGCTTGGATCTCCTTGCCTTTCAACAACTGGAGCCAGCCAGCCAGGCCAGCCTAGATACCCCTCTCTGCCCATGGCCTTGGCTTCCTTGGCTTCTAAGTCCACTTTTACCCCCTCCAAACCCTGTGTCCCAAATGCCCTCCTGGCCAATCACTGCGCCCTCGTAAACAGTGTCCTTCAAGCTGTAGATCGTAACACAGGAGTGAAACACGACCGGCGCTTTAGTTTACCAAAAGAAAATAGGATAGCATAGCCGATCGGGACACAGAAGACACCAGAATGTATCACACATACAAAAGCTAAGTGTTATATAGTGAAACTTTGGTGGCAGTTGTGTTTGGGCTGTTTGTGGAGTGAGTATGGGTGTTGACCGAACTGAGAAATAAAAATCTAGAATGTCCCACTGGGATGCAGGTGCCCTAAGATACTCAGGGCCAAGGGAAGGGCAGGCAGAGGACAGGAAGCCCTCTGCCCAGGCACACCTGGGAAGGAAAGAGGGGCGAGACTCTCTTTGCTTTGCAGATGGGGAGGCCTGGGCGTGGCTGTACCACATGAGGCTGCAGGGAACTTAGTTAATTTCCTTAGTAAAATCAGATGCATAACCTCCCTCCCCTGCCCACTTTGTCTGGATTTGGTCCTGCTATAACGAAGCAAGACTAGCTGCCTGCGGGATGAGCCTGTAGGGAACAGAATCTGAGAACCCCCAGAGTTCAGCAGCCCCACCCCACGTGGGGCTCCTCTCTACTGCCCCCCCTTGGAGGGTCTAAGCTTAGGTGAATTCCTTGCAGGCAGGAGTGGGTCCACAGCCCCAACAACTGTGTCCTCAGAGAGCTCTCCCCGCCTCAGCCCAGCACCCGGTCCCCCGCACCCAGCCCCGTACCCAGGATGGCCACGACAACGTCTCCCCGCAGGATCTCAATGGAGCCCCGGGAGATGAAGTAGAGGGCGGTGAGCAGGTCCCCCGCATGCACCAGCGTGTCCCCTGGCGGTGCATGTGTCGTCTTGAACTTCATGGCCAGGGCCCTCAGGCAGCCCTTGGTGGCCCCTCGGAAAGGCTTGCAGTGCTGCAGAAGCGAGCGGTTCAGGTGCAGACAGATGTCTGCCTGCAGGCACTCGGGGAAGCCTTTCAGCACCTGGAGGGGGAGTGGTCGTTGGGCTGGCTCAGCACTTTGTCTCCAGGCACGACACCCCCCACCCCGAGGCCCTGGGAGGAGCATCAGAGAGCCCACCCCTTCTAGCTGGGCGCCCTTGCCCGCCCTCCGCCCTCCGGGAGGATGCCTCCCAGCTCTCGGCCCCCATTCTCTTGTGTGAAGTGTAGAGCCCAGCTTCTGCCTGGGGCTGTTGTAAAGATTAAATGCTTTGTCTACATGGAAGGGCCAGGTTTGGCCTGCCCCGTAGTGAGAGTTCTCCCAGTAAATGAGCTCCATTATCAAAACGAGGAGAACGTACTTCTCAGGGTCCTTCTAGGCACTAACTGTGACCGCCGGAACCACAGAGTATGATGCTATTAGGGCAGACGTGCTCCCTGCACCCAGGGAGGTCTCGCTGTGACCCTGCTCCCTCCAGCCCACCCCCAGAGAAGCCCAGAAGCCTCACCGCGTTCATGTCGATGCCGTTGGTGTAGGACCAGGCGTGCTGGAAATACTCCTCGAGGCGCTGGCGGAGGGGGTTGGGGATTTGGTGGAAACGGATGAACTCCCGCACCCGGAGCATCTGCGTGTGGTAGCGGGCAGTGCCAGAGTACAGCCGCTGGATGATGGCTGACACATTGCCGAAGATGCTGGCGTACATGAGGGCTGGGGGCGGGGGTGAGTGGGGACATCAGCATCCGAGCGCCCCCGCCCGCCCCTGCACCGGGTCAACGACACACGCAGTCACATCTCAGTGGAAGCACACACGAGAGACGCACAAACACAGAAGCCCAGGTACGCGTGCCCTTGAGCTCTGCCTTGAGCCTCTGCCTGGTGTGCCGGTCCCCACACATGCTATGGTGGTGGTCCCTGGAGGCTCTCAGTCTCAGAGCTCCCCTCACCTCACCTCTGGCCCACCTAGCGCCCTCCCTCTCCTCCCTCTCAGGCTCTTCCCAGACTCTGGGCCACACACCCCCTTCCCTCCACCCCACCCCACCCCCGCCCCCAAGGATACACTCACAGCCAATGAGCATGACACAGATGGAGAAGATCTTCTCCGAATTGGTGTTGGGGGAGACATTGCCAAAGCCCACGCTGGTGAGGCTGCTGAAGGTGAAGTAGAGGGCCGTGACATACTTGTCCTTGATGGAAGGGCCCCCCAGGCCGCTGCTATTGTAGGGCTTGCCGATCTGGTCACCCAGGTTGTGCAGCCAGCCGATGCGGGAGTCCATGTGTGGCTGCTCCATGTTGCCGATGGCGTACCAGATGCAGGCCAGCCAGTGCGCAATGAGCGCGAAAGTGCACATGAGCAGGAAAAGCACGGCTGCCCCGTACTCAGAGTAGCGGTCCAGCTTCCTCGCCACACGCACCAGCCGCAGCAGCCGCGCCGTCTTCAGCAGCCCAATCAGCTGTGGGGGGACAGACATACAGTGTGGGAGCTAGTCGGGGGCGGGGCACTGGAAGTAAAATCCCCAAAGACTTCCTCCTAGGACAGCCTAGTGGTTGAAGCTCCCATTCCCTAAGTCCAGCACAGTCCCATTAATCTGTGTCCTAGCTTCGTGACAAAGGACTCATCTTTGTGACAGAGGGGCTCACGCTCCCCCTGGTGAGAATGGAGCTCCAGAAGATACAACGCCCACCCTGAGGTGCCTGCCTACAACCCCAACTAGTTCCCAGGCCAGTTCTGTGTGATTAGAACATGGCGGCCTCTTTGATAGACAAAGAGAAAAAGGTGGCCCCTCTGGCCCTCTATCTGGGGAGTGGCTCACGTGGAGAGGGGCAGTGGCCATGGAGTAGCTACTCCCTGTGCCCCACCACCTTCTCCCCTTTCCCGGGTGCCCTCCTGGCCTCGGCCTCCCTGCCAACTTACCTCCTCCGAGCCAGAGCCAAAGATGAGCAAGTCGAAGGGGATGGCGGCCACCATGTCGATGAGGAACCAGCCTTTGAAGTAGTGGACGGCAATGCGGCCGGGATGGCTGACCACCTCCTCATTGGCATTGACATAAGTGGTGCGGAAGTTGATGAGGATGTCCACGATGAACATGATGTCCACGATGAAGTCCACCACGGCCAGCGGCTGGCAGGCATAGCCACAGTCCGGGGCCGTGGAGCCTTCTTCCGTCTCCTTCAGCAGGAAGGCGGCTGAGTAGGGTGTGAAGACAGCCGTGTAGATGACCAGCAGCAGGATGAGCCAGTCCCACACGGCCTTGAAGGGGCTGTAGTGCAGGATGGTCCAGCGGTGGATCCGCGGCGCCTGCAGCTTATACTCTGGAAGCACGTCAGCCCCCAGGGACAGGACCTGGACAGGTAGGGAGGGTGGAGGGCAGAGGTGAGGAGATGACATCCAACTGGAGTCCGGGGCAGGTGACATTCCTTCTGGGCCTCCAGGGAAGAGACCAAGGAGAGTGGGGAAAGCCAACGAGTTTCGATCCGGACGCCCATCCCTTGGCAAAGTGACCACAGCCAGTGACCGCCTTGTGACCCTGGCACTGCACTTGCCCACGCAGCACACAGACCTGCTGTCTGGCTACCTGAGTTGAGAGCACTGTGCAGTGACATCCAGATGTGCTGCTCTCCCCCCAGCTAGTCGCACCCATAGCTATGGTTAGAACTCGACCACGTGACCTTGTCCACAGCCCCCAAGCCACGTATACACCACACACACACACACATACACCATGATCCTAGTCTAGAAGATGCTCCAAGAGCTAAGACACCAAGTCCGGGTGATGGCCTCAGGAGGCACAGCCTCAACACATAAAATGGTGGTGGTTACTGCCATTCCATGGCAGCCCCACTACTGGTAGCCTGGGAACTGAGGGCCTAAATAAAGGTCCCTTCATGCCACCACTAGCCCAAGGGCACCAGCCACCCAGACTCAGGGCCCTTGGACTCCCTTGGAGAGAGACCAAGACACACATACCCAGCACTCCCCAGCCCTCTGTCCCCAGCCCCAGGGCAGCCCCCCAGCTTTGCCCTCCCGCACCCCTACAAAGGCCCACAGAAGACCTAACCCAGCCACAGACGTGCCCACGTGTACACAGATGGACAGGCACACAGGCAAACGTTCAGAAGTGTCACACCCAAGCCTGCACAGGCTCACCTCACGTCCTGCCCTCTCAACAGCCAGGCAGAGGCAGGCCTGCCATCCACACCAGATGGCAGCAGCCATGCCGTTCTCTGCCCAGGCCAAACTAGGAAGGACTGAGGCCAGCTTTCCCACAACGGGCCAGGAGCCTGTCTGTCCCCCGTTGCCTCCCCCTGCCCCCCCCCAAAAAATCCTCTCTTACAGACACCCGACTCAACCCATGAGCCCTCTCCCTAGGCCCACCAGGCCCGGCCCTGCCAACGCTGGGAGCCAAAGCCAAGGCCTCACCCACCCCCTTGAGAACCAAGGCTGCTGGCCCTGCTCCAAGAAGCACTGAATCCCAGGGCCCCACATCCTCAGGCCTCTGGGCTGCGGAGAGTCGGGGTGGATGGATACCCCAAAGATTCCCACTCGTACTCAAGCCAAGGATCCCCTGGACCCACCGTCATCAGATGGATTGTATAGAGACCATCTCCTTAAAGGAAGTTACTGGAAGGTAAGATGGGCCATGTTTACCATCTGGCCACCCTCAAGTAGACATGGGCAGCTCCAGAGATGCCTGATGTGGGGGGGAGGGGGGAGCAGCTAGAGCCTGGGGGGCAGGAAGAAGCGTATGTCTTGCAGCCCTGATTTCAGCCCAAGCTGCTTTGCTCCTTAAGGCAGACAGCACAAAGCAGCAGCCTTTCGGGGGTCACGTGAGGATTGAAAACATGGAACCAGCCAGGGCCCCCACGGACAAGGGGAGGAAGAAGGTACCTGCCCCTGGATGGGGCTCGTCCCCAAGCCCCTTGAAGACTGTGTCGGAGCACAGCCAACAGCAGTGACCCTGCCCCCACCCCAGTCTACACACAGCAAGGCCAGCACAGCCCCAAGCACACCCGCAAGCACATGGGGCGAGCCTGGGGCTCAAGGCCTGGCTCCACAGACCTCACCTTAAAGGGGCCAGGCCTTGCTCAGCATCCTCCAGCTTACCAGATGGCCTTGGGCCAGACATGTAACCCCCTCACCCCCGACTCGTGGTCCCTCAGGATACGGAAGCTCATTTTAGCCGAGTCCTGGGTCCTCACCTGTGGGTGGGATTCTTCCCACCCATACCTGCTCCCTCACCGGGAGGAGCCCAAGAGCCAGGGCAGAGAGTCAGGTGCATGTGGTGGGATTCGCAGACTCACTCCTAAGCCACCTCCCACTGCTCTGAGGCTGCTCCAGGCTGACAGAAGCCCTTGGGGGCAGAGAGGTGACTCCCAGGAGCCACCTAGAGAACAATCAGCCTGGATGAGGGAAGCACAGCCACCGCACCCAAGGCTGCCTGGGAAGAGGTGATCCAGGTGGGTGAGCTCAGTGCCCTCACTGCCATCCGGTGGTCTCTGACCCCCACCCTCCTCAGACCCTTGAAGCAGCCCAGGCCTCCCTCCCCAACAGCAGGGTCCACCCGGGCACCCAGTGGGGAGCTTGAGAGCCCCAGGGCCCGGGCTGTGTCTGCCGGCCCCTCGCTATCCCACTATGCTCCTCTCCTCCCCCTTCGCCCACCGTCATCATCTCTGGGCACCCATCTCATGCCTCCTCTCCCTCTCCTCCTTTCGTATTTGGAGTTAGGACTGTGGGCCAGGGAAGCCATGGTAGAGGGAAAGACCTGGCAAGAAAAGCACTGTCCACCCGGGCCCGGCAGGCCTGGAGGAGAGCGAGCAAGGGGCCAGCGGTGGGCTGAGCAGAGCTGCGAACCCCATGCTCCCTCAGAACTGTCCTGCTTCTCAGAAGCCCTCTCCCGGCCCGGCCCAGAGCCAGAGGCCTCCGGGCCGCACCCAGCTTGCCACCTCGCCACCGCCTGCCTCAGTGCCCCGGCCCAGGGAGGGAGGGGGAGTGGCTGGGGGGGGGGTCACCTACCTCCTGGGCCACCAGGCTGGAGATGCGCACGGCCCGCCTCACCCGGCCTTTCTGGGCCCTGGGCTGCAGAGCCCCTGTCCCGCTCGCCTTCCCTGCTGGGGCCGCCATGGAGGACTTGGCTGCCCCCAGCCTGCCCGCCCTGGAGCCCGAGGGCCCGGCCAGCGCCCCACCTGCGCCCCAGCAGCAGTCCCAGCCCAGGCTGCGCCCCAGAGGCTGGCAGCCTGGCATCCAGGGCCGTCTCTGGCATGAAGCCAGGGTCGCTGGGGCTGGGCCCCGGGGCTGGGGTCACCCTGGCAGTGAGTGTGGACAGCAGCCTGCCTGGCTCAGGCCCATGGCCCCCTGGTGCGGGCCCCCCGCTGCCAGGGTACTGCGCTCTGCCTGCCCGGCAGCCCAGCAGCAGCCGCGCGGTCGGAACCTCGGCTCCTCAGCCCGGCCCTCCTCCCAGGCCCCCACCCCCACCCCCGCCACACTGGGCTCCCCCGCCCCGCCCGTGCTGGCCAGCGGCCCCCTCCCCCGCGGCCCGATCAGGGCTCATGCTGCAGCCGCTCCCGCAGCCCGCGCCCCTCCCCCTCCCCCGGCAGTCAGGCCTGTCACGGCAGATTAATGGTCTCCCCGACACCCCCGCCCCTCCGGTCCAGTGCCCAGCGAGCCAGAGTCAGACCGACACCCAGAGATGGAGAGACCGCCCGGTGACAGGCAAAGCTGGGAACACACACGCACGCTGCCACATATAGACCAAGCACAGACCGCAACAGGACGGGCACAGGCTGCGGGCGCGGGAGCAGGGCAGACACCGGGCTCCGGGCGGGAACGGGAGGCAGAGGCAGGAGGGGCAAGGGGCAGGCAACCAGATATGGGGCCTGGGGCGCGGGGGAACATTCTGGAGTCAAGGCCAAGGGGCTGGAGACCTGGCAGGGCCCCAGAGAGCCAGAGGCGGCGGGAGCAGGGCCAGGAGGAGGGCCGAGGAGGCTGGCAGTGACAACAGCGGGCGAAAGGGGGCAGCTCCCTCTCTCGGGCCAACTCAAGGAGCTGCCGTGCAAGGGGCGGGAGGGGGCGAGAGACTGGAGCTCCTGGCCCCCACCATCCCGGGCTCTTCACCTACTGCGGGCATCCCCACTTGGGACCCTCTCCCCAACCCCACCCCCAAGGCCAGAAGGAGTCGGCACAGACTGGGCAGTGGGGGTGGTGCCAGCACCCTTGCTGCCGGCGGGGACCAGGAGGCCAGGCTGGTCCTGCCCCCGGATGGTGTTGGGCAGTGCCCCCCACAGGCTGGTGGTCTTCTCTGGGACCTAATCCCTCTGTATCAATGCCCCCACCATCATACCCTCCCCTCCCCTGTCCCATGGTTTGGAGACAGGAATGCGTACCTCCAAGCCATTCAAGCCCTAGCTTATCACACTGGCCTAGAAGAATCAGGACCCCTGACCTTGACCTCCTGGCACCTTCTAAGTAGGTTTACCCCTAGCTGGCCCAGTACCTCCTTCACCACACCCAGCGGGCCCTACGGCGGCCTTCTCCAGCCCACCTTGTCTCAAGTGCCTTGTCCCTCCCGTGTGCCGTCAACCTGCCCTCTGTATCTGCCCTGTCCCAGGGTCCCTTCCCTTCCTCTCTCTTTTCCTCCCCTTCTTTCCTCTCTCCTCTTCTCCCCTTCTCCTCTCTTCCTCAAGACCTCTCAGACTTGTTGTCTCTCACCCCAGCTCTGCAATCCCCCCCCTGCCACCTCCAGCCACGGGGTCTGCCCACCCTGAAGAGGCCGCCACTGAGCAGTCCCCTCCACCATCCCCCTTTGACCACCGCCCACTCCCACCCCCTCCAAGCTCGTCCAGGCTGAGAGGAGAGCCAGGGAGCTAGGCACGTACCTGGGTGACCTTCTCGGTGACATTGTGGGTCCTCTCCTTTATCTTCGGTGCTATAATCTCCCGGTCACTGGTGGGCGAAGCCAGGAAAGGGTCCCCCTTGAGGTCCACAAAGTTGAGGGTGATTTGGGGAATCTTGCTAATGGTACGGTAGCGCACGAGGTCAGAATCTGACGTGGAGTTAAGCAGGCCGCTGCGCAGAGGGTGCATGGCCCCTGGGGTGGAGGGGAAAGCCGGGTCAGGGCGGCAGGCAGGGGTGCATGGCCCCTGGGGTGGAGGAGAAAGCCGGGTCAGGGTGGCAGGCTGAGGTGGAGACCAGGCCGTGTGTGGACTAGGCCATGGGGTACAGTGAGTCCATGAGGCCAACCCAGGAGACGGCAGTCAGTGAGAAGCCAGGCCAGAGCCCTTGCCACTTTAAGAAAGCATGCCATGGTGCAGCTGTGAGGTGACGGAGGAAGACGGTCCTCCTGTCCTCCCTAAGGGTCTGTTCAGTGGGCGCTGGGCACCCGTCAGAGGGCCAGATGGTAGCCGGGACCGGAGGCTTCTCCTGCCCTTCGCACTCCCCATGGCCACCCCTGCACCGGGCCACCGTGGGAGAGCGAACTCCACCAGCCAGCAGAGGCTGTGCCAGTGGAAGAATGTAATGGGATGAATGGACATTTAATGGAGTAAAAGGCCACTTAATGGGATTAAGTAAGTGCTTAATGGGATTTCCATCTCCCAGGCACACAGGACCGGGCTGAGAGGGAGGAAGCCGAGGGCCCCCGAACGGGGCAGGCCCTGGCGGGTGGCGCGGCGCTGGGGCAGTTCCCCGCGGCCCTCACCGGTGCTGGCGTGGCGCGGCGGCGGGGGCAGCCCGGCGCGCATGGCCTCGATGTCGTCGGCCGAGGAGGCGCGGCGCACGCTGGCGCAGCTCTCCCGCGAGCGCGTCCGGGCCAGGCTGCAGCTGGAGCCCGAGGCGTCGGGGTTGAGGCTGTGCGCCCGGGGTGAGGGGTGCGTGTCCGGCGCGCAGGCGGAGGGTGAGCCGGGGCCCACCAGCGCGCGCCGCTCCTCCGCGGGCCCCACATGGTTGTCCATGGCCGTCACCTCATCCAGGGCCAGTGACTCGCGGCTGGGCGCCGCGGGCGTCAGGTCCACATCCACCACCACGGCCCCCGGGGCGCCCGTGCCGCCCCCACCGCCGGGCCGCACCGACGGCCGCACTGCCGACTCTCTGGCCGTTAAGGCCAGCAGCGCAGGCAGCTTCAGACGGAAGGTCTTGGCTCGGCCTGCGGGGACAAGAGAAGTAGATGGCCACAGGGTGGCCGGTGAGGAGGGCAGCCACGAGCAGGGAGGCCTGGGCGCTGGCGCCCTGGCCACCGAGGGGAGATGGGGTGGGGAGCTGGGGCAGCCAGCACCCCTTCACCCCCACTCCCACTGCACAGAACTCAGGTCTCAATAAGCTTCCAGTACAGGATTATCTAAGGCTCTGACAATAACAAACTATCATTTGTTGAGCCTCACAGGTCACCGTGGGCTCCTCATGAACCATGCATGACTCACAACTACGCCGGTGGTATCATTTACCCCCTTTTAGACTTGAGGACATTTAGGCACACGTGAGCCGTGTGACTCACTAGAGATCACACAGTAAATGGTAGGGCCTGCGTCTGCACGGTGAAGCAATGACTTCTGGCCATGCCCTGCTACCCTGCAGACGGGACCCGTAAGACAGGTAAGGCCAGTGTTATTAACACGACCTTCTCAGGGCTTGAGAAACCAAGAGGTGGACTCTTCTGCCAGGGAAAAATTAAAATGAAACCCAAGAGGGACATCATGGAGAAGGGAGGGAGCCTGTGTGTTATGGGAGCATGAGGTGAGGGCTCCAGGTCTCCGGCCACCGTGAGCATTCCCCGCGAATCCTCAAGCAGCCAAGGCCAGGGCAGGGAGCTGGCCAGCCCCGGAGCAAGGCCCAGGGGGCAGAAGTGACACAGAGAGGGAGTTGAATCCCTGAGAGGCAGGGCCTTCTGATGAGCAGGAGAGCTGCTCCAAGGTGGCCAGGGCCACGTGGGAAGGGTGAATCCCTCACTCGTGGGGCTGGAGAGAGGACCACCCCCAGGAGGTGCTGTGGGAGGAACCCAAGCGAGTAAGCTAGGACCTGTGAGTCTGGGCTCAGTCTGTCACCCCGGCCCTGTCTGTCCATCCCGAGCCAGATGGGACTAGGCCAGATCCTCGGTCATCCCCCCCCCCGCAACCTCAGAAAGGGGCACCTCCCAACACCACTTCCTACAGAGCGCTGACCTTGGGTAACCTCCAAGCCTCAGGAAAGGGACCTGAGAGTAGGGTTACACTTACCCGGGGCCAACCAGCTGGTGGGGGGTCCACGGTGATTGGTGTCATGGGCCGGGGACCCCACCAGGTCCTTTTCCATCACCACCTCGAAGTTGAGGATGAACATGATGACAGCTCCATCTTCATTCTTCACGGGCACCACGTCCACCAGGCACAGGAAGCAGCTCCCTGCAGAGCGGAGGACGTGGCCACTGTGACCCCGGGGCCCCTCAGGCGGGCACAGCAGAGCAGGACCCAAGGGGCCAGTCCATGCCTCCCCCATGCCCCTCCCCCACATCTGCCGGCCAGTCCTCTCCAGTGTCTCCTACACCGACCCCTCCTTCTGCCCTGGGCCGCCATCCCGATCCCTCCCTCATTCTATCCACTCCAGCTAGCTGCTGCTGCTGCTTTTTTTTTTTTTTTAATTTTAACAATTAATTATTTTTGAGAGACAGAGAGAGACAGAGCATGAATCGGGAAGGAGCAGAGAGAGGGAGACACAGAATCCAAAGCAGGCTCCAGGCTCTGAGCTGTCAGCACAGAGCTCGATGCGGGGCTCTAACTCATGAACCGTGAGATCATGACCTGAGCTGAAGTCGGTCGGTTAACCAACTGAGCCACCCAGGCGCCCATGCATGCTGCTTCTTGGGGGGGGGGGGGGGGGGGGGGTAGCTCTCTTTGTCTCCCTCCCTATCCTCTCCTCTCCCTATCCTTGCTTTGCCTCGTGCAAGGCAGCCCAGCACAGCAGGTGCACCCGTAGACTTCAGGCCCAGGATCTCGGCATTCAGCTTCAGCTTTTTTTTTAATTATGTAGGCTCCCTGCGCCTCATTTTCCTCACCTATAAAATGGGAATGATAGTAATTCTTTCTCATGAGTTGTAAAGATTAAGTAAGTCAATACATGCCAAGCGCCTAGGGCAAAGCGCGGCGTGAGCTGAACGCTATAGCAGGGCTAACTGTTACTCTGACTCTGCTCTCTGGGGCCAAATGTTCCGCCGGCCCCCAAGCGGTGTTTACAAGTCAAGGGCAAGAGTTTCAAAACCATTACAGCAATGTGGGATCGCCACAACGTCCAAGCGTGTGAGTTTGTAGTTCACAAAAGGGCTGGTCTGTGACGTATAGACATAAACGAAAGTAATCCTTTGGCAGAGAGTCGAGAAGCATGGCGTCCAGAGCTTTCATCTCCGTCTCTCCTTGTTCTCTCTGTCCCTTGACTTTTGTGTCCCCCTCCCAGTCTCTGTTTCTCTGCCCACCAGAGCCCCTGCACCAGGTGAGGTCAGTGCACCAGGCTCAGTGTACCTAGTCCACCTCTGCTCCTGGTCCAGAGCACCGCCCCTCACCCTTCTCTCTGTTCCTTTCTGAGAGTGACCCCCCCCGGCACCCTCGGCCTCGCTCAGAACTCCCGCCCACAGGAAGCCCTCCTGGATGAAACAAGAAAACCCATAAACACTCTGTTCCTCCTTCTTTATGGATCCAACAGGGGCCAGACGTGCTCCTCATCTCCCTCTCGTTCTGGGACAAACTTCTTTCCTTGCCTTGGCTCCCCTGTGATCATCTGTCTTCTGTGAACTGTAGGAGCCTACCTACCTCCCCAGGGTCTGCGTCCCCTCTGGAGGGTCTCGCCCCTAAAACAACGCACCAGGGAGCAGGCCCGGCAGCAGGTGGTGAGGGATGGGGGAGTGCTGATGGCCAAGAAGGAGGAGGGTGGAGAGGAAGTGTGGGTGGTGAACAGAGTCGAGGAAGAAGCCAACAACCTTGGGCTGGCAGCCTCGGACTTGGGCTAGTGCTCGATGCCTGCCAAGGAGGCCCTGGGGGCTGAGCCTCAGCGGAGCAGGACAGGGACTCCCTGCGTCCTGGAAGGTTCTCCCTGGCTGAGGCGGACTTGCTGGGGACAGGGCCCCGGGAGGGAGGCAGATCAGCACTCCTAACTGCCACCCTCTGAAACTACCTGGAAGAGGACTCGCAGGGATGAGGGGGGGCTGGGCCAGGGGAGGGGCTGGCCAGGAATTCTCCGCCCCACCCCAAAGTCCCTCCACTCACCACATCCAGGCTCGGCCTGTGGGACCTGAGCTGGGGGCTCTGTCTGGGTCTCCCTCCAGCAGCCGTCCCCTGACCCCTGGCCTCTGACATGGCCTGGCTGAAGCCCCACTTCGGTGTCACGAGCCGCGGGGGGCTGGGCCCAGCTGGAGACTGTTTGGCACCCAGGCAGCCCGCCTAGAGTTTATGCCCTAATATGGTGATGGCCGGCGGCCTGAACAGGGACTGGCCCTCATCAGGACTAAGGAGAGGCCAGAGACCAGGAAACCTGAGCCCTCAAGGCCCCCAACACCCGTCCCTGGAACCCCAGTGATCCAGGCCCCCGGTTCTCATTCCTAGGTTCCTTAACAGGGGGGGAGGGGGACTCATCTCAGAGAAGTCCAGAGTCTGAAATGTAGATGAGTCCAACCCTTCAGGATGGCCTGGGGATCCTGCCCCCAAAACAGAGCATCGGGAGTCTGAACCCAAGGCCTCGATAGCCCACGCCCGCTCAGTTCAGGTTCGTCTGCCAGAGAGGTGGCCAGGACTGCATTCCGCCACTCAGGTAGCCCCGGACGGAGGCATGCCAAACCGCCACCGCACCGCCTGCCAGCCGGGCTGCCGAAACTCCAGATAGAAACCCCCTCGCAGTACAGAGCCGCTCCCGCTCCAGAGGCTGACACGCAAAGCCCCCTTGGCCTTCTCGCCTTGTCGACATTCAAGGAATTTTTCCTTTCAACGAACCCCCGTCAAAGCCCTGGTTATTCCAAAAATGTGAACTGGAGCCCTGCCTGAGGGCTGTGCGGACGAGGGTGGGGAGGTAGGCTCCAGCTGCTATTTCTAGGGGACAGGGAAGGAAGGAAGGAAAGTTAGCGCCGAGGCAGCCAGAGCTCTCTGAGGCCCCGCCTCCCTCCCACCACCTGCCGGGCGGCCGGGGTCTCCAGTGGGCTGTCACACCAGCCATCCCCAGGCCAGCGACCCAGCGACCCCTGTCCGCCATCCCGTCGCTGGCTGGGATTATGGGGGGTGGGGGGGTGCGTACGCAGGGCAGCTGAAGCTCAGACAGGGTGAGGGCTGGCCACACCCTGTCTGGCCACAGGGACAGCCAGAGCTGGGCATCAGCACAAACGGCAGCCTGTGGGTGGTGGGGTTCTGACCTTCACACAACTTCACAGAGGAGAAACGTGGAGAGTCCACAGCCTAGCTGCCTCCTGGGCTGGCTCTGCGCACACAGAAGGGCGCCTCGCCCTCCCCTAGTCCCTCCCCTGCCTACCCCCAGACCCCGCACTTCGCACTTCGCTCCTGCCCTGCCCCCAGGGCTGCTCCCC